GCCTTGGTTCACATTTCCTCTTCTTCCTGGCATGGAGTCTCCAACAACTCTGCTGCTCTGCCCAGGAGACTGAGTGCTTCTGCCAAGGCAGCTGCTCCATGTGAGATCCAACACCAAAGAGAAGGGAATTTTATTCCCTTGAACAGAAAATGCTGTGTAAATTCAGGAGTGCCAGGAAGGAATATTCTTGGCTTGTCTTTCATCCACACTCTAAATGATGTATCTAGTGAGTAGTGAGTGGTGATAGAGAGCTGCATTCAAATCCTAATCAGCCAGAAGTATGGTCACAACCAATAAACTAATGAACCCCTACAAAGCCCAGCCTCCCAAGAGGGGTCAGAGTCTATTTATACAGAGTGAGAAAAGATTGTTTTTCACAGACTCTGGAACAGCAAAAGCAGGTTATTCTTTGGCACTCACTTTCCCTCTGTGGAGCAGGGAGGAAGAACAATTGGCTCCTTCTTCCCTGTTATATAGCTTTAGAATATTTGGGGTTAAAACAGAGCAATTATTTGCTGAAGAATAAATTAGAAAAGCACTCAGCTATTTTTGAATTTGGCTTGAATTTCATGACTAGCTCCTGTTGGATAAGAAGTGGAGGAATTTTTTTTAGAATGTCACAGTGTTTTATTTGATTGCGATATCTGTGATCTGAAACATTTCATTTCAGAACAATATTTTCTGCTGGCCATGTCACCTTTAAAACAAAGTTAAAAACAGATCTTAAAAAGAGGTTTTGCAGTTTCAGAAAGAAGCAGATCTTTTCCTTTGAAGTCAAGAGAACCATTTAATCTCAGATGACAGCTTTTTCTTTTCAAGTAGCTTTGCCAACTTCTGTCTTCATGGCTGTGTGCTTCACTTTGGTTTGGCAGGAACTGGCTCCATGGTTTCTGCTCCTTTCCTCTTCTCCATCATGGCCTATATCACTCTTCAGACTGAACAGGCCAATATGATTTTGGATTAGAAAGGAATCAGAAAACATTTCTGGAAGAAAATTATTTCAATTCATTTTTAACAAAATGAACTTCTGAAACAAAGCATTTAATAGTGGAACAGGTAGAATGAAGTAATGATTTAACAGAGCTCTTAGATTTCATGATTTAATAAAACACATTGAGGATGTTGCAGTAACTCTAAGGTTAGACAGTTTGCCTGCATGAGCCAAGGCAAGGTAGACAGGGATCAAGAAAAATCCTGGGACGCTGCAGCTTTGGTACTCCTGTTTATCACTGTTGCAGAGGAAGCGACTTCCTCTTGATGTGTCCCTCCATCTAGTTAAAGTGGTTTTGTGATAACCCTATGAGCACTTTTCAAGCATTGAAGCACCATGAAGCACTCCAACAGCTCTGCCTATCTTGTGTTTGGATGCCTTGGTAAGTTAAGCCTGCTTCTGTCATCACAGGCTCAAAAAAAACTAAGCACTTCCTAAAACCTTGGAGTGTATTATATCATTGTAGCCCTAAAGGGTTGCTGTTGCTTTCACACTTACCTCACTGTATTTCTGTTGGACTTGGAGATACCAAAAGTTTATTTCTTCACTGCAGTAACTCATTGAATTCTATTAACAAAGAGTGCTGAGACTTTGGATAACAAAGAATGCATCTTTCCAGCACTTGCTTTGGTTGGCAAAATGCAGCAACCATTTGATTCCAGTAAATGTGTAAACATTTACTGGATCTGATCTGACTTGTACAGCTCTTCTCTGCTGTCCTGTCTTGTTCCCCTTTGTTTATGTATCAAAACCCTCACTGAAATCAGTAGAAAATCTACTTTTTTTGGAAGTCCAGATCTCACATGCCTTCAAAGGAGGAAGACTGCCTCCCTCATATGGTTTGTACTTTGTATTACCTGATGTTAAATGGAATCCAAGAGCAATGGCAGTGAAAAAGATACAGGGGAATGACCACATATGAGCTGTAGCTAGAAGATCAAATATGCCAATTGCATTATTGAACCAAGAACTGTGGTTTATCATTGCCAAGTAGAGATGTGATTTTTCATAGGAAAAAATCCATGTGTTGGAAAATTAATCTAGATACACAGCTATTGAAAAGCAACATTTTTTAGTAGTGACGATAAGTAATTACCAGTACTCACCTAGATATATGGTGGAGTTTTCTACTTTTCAAGTCTTAAAATAAAGATACTTTATTAATATATACAGACTGTGTATCCAGAGTCGTGTTGCTTTCTGGACTAACGTTGAAATCACGCATGCATGCGTAGATCAGAATAAACTCTAAAGATGCTTCTGCTCTGAAAAATTGTAAGTTGTTTTTTCCTAAATAAAATCTGCTGCATATGCAAATTTTGCTATATTTCTGATTATTATAAATGGCATAAATTATTTTCTTGATTGTCAATCTATACTTTCTTAAGAAAAATGTTTTAATACTTCTGGTTTTTTTGAGCTGGCAGTGCTGCTGCGCTGGATATTTTGTGAGCACTTCACACACACCACTACAAAGGTAGGGAAGAATGCTATGGTTAGGGTTGAAATGATAATCCCCATGACTTCTTACCATTTCCACATACATCATCATCAGTAATCGAGGGCCATCTTCTTTATGCGTGACGTGTTTCTGAATCTTTATTTTCACCCTTTTTCATCTGCAAAATAAAGATTTTTGCCAGCAGAGTATCCTTTACTTGTTTGATACCTGACCTTTCACAAAGAAAAGTCCATTAGGAAATGTGATGCTTATCACACTTCCCTTGCTTCCGTATTTTGCTGGAAATGGCAACTGTCCCCTAATTATTTTTTATGAGTTAAACCAATTTATTTTCTTATGTGGGGATGGTTCAGTCTAAAAGCCCAAGCAAGTGAAATGATTCTCCTTTTGGGGCAAAAATGTCTTTCTTGAAGAAAATATTAGAACAGCGATAGGCTGTCCTTATCAATATAAAACTAGTCATTTTCTCCAGGTAGAAATTCAATTTTAAATCGGTAGAAATGAAATCATGAAGGCAACTCCTATTTTTCAAGCAAAATTCCATGCAACAAAACTTGCTGTCTTTTGTCCAGAAAAGGAATCACTAATAAAAAGTCAACCAATTTATGGTGGACCAGGCGCATGAACATATGATGTTTGGCTCCCCCTCTTGGTGGGTTATTAGTTGTATGGGATCCCTTTTTTTCCCCCTTACTAAAAGCAAATTATCAGAATTTCCTTTCCCTATGTACATTATGCACCTGGTCAGCTTAAACTAGGGTGTTTTTTCCAGTGATTCAACATAAAGCTATTGCACCCCTCTTGAAACAAATGGACTTCACTCTTGTTTTGCTCCTGCTCTCTCTCTTGGAACTATCTTGCACAAGTTTCTATGATCTGTTGTTTCACGTTATGAATAAATTGGTTTTCTTCACTTTTGTTATCCCCTAATCCCTTTTAGGCATATGATAGTTTTGGAACTTTATACAGTGTCTCTGGTTTATGTACCTCTGAGAAGTTAGATAACGCTGATCCTTATTTAGCCTGCATTCAGTAGAATTACATTGAGCTATTTTTGGCTGAATGCCCTTTTAATTTTCCAAGCTCTCAAATGGAGTCATTTAAAGTATAAAAATGTATGAACATCTTTCCTCTAAACTAAATGGCACTCTTTTTCTTGGCTTAATTTCCTTTGGAAGTAAAAGCTATACTATGCTTCACTGGTACCAACAATAAGTAATGTAGTGTAGGCTGTCAGACATAAAGATGAGATAAGTATTTGCATTTCCAGTAGTGTTTTCAAGGAATTGTCTATATGCAGCTCATATTCTATTCTGAGAACCCATCTGGGCCAGCAATACTAATTATACTTCTCATCTAAAAGAAAATAATAGCTGCTAAATATGAGGGACTTGTAATCTATATGAATTGCGTTTATGCTTTTTTTATTTTTTATTTTTATATTTTATTTTTATTATCTATATGCTTTTTTTCAAAAATCATTGTAAGGGTCAATATTAATATTAGTCCTAAACCTGAGAATGCCTTGATGATGCAACATTTGCACTGCACAATTTACTATTAGTGGTCCAGCATGGAAAACGTGGCATTTAGTTCCTCTTATTTTTTTCTTAAGGTGAACTTACTATCTCATTTATTCAATACAATTTATTCAATTATACAAATAATGATCAGTTCTGGTCTAGGAGGCAGCCATGTAAAACCAGCCCAGGCTTCCACATCAGAGCTATTCCTTGAATGCACTGAGTCATTTCTGTAGACTGAGGACAAAAATAGCTTTTCACTGCTGACACTGCAGGACAGCCAAGAGAGCTTGGAGAGATGGGGCTGGAATCAATTTCTCTTCTGCATCATCTATTTTGAATGAAGTGAAAAATCTTCTTTAAAAAAAGCAATGTTTCCTGAAATGTACATTTCTCAACAAACCTCTGCTCCCAATAGCCGAACTCTTCCTCTGCCTTCCCTTTTAAAACTTTTGTTCACCAGCTGACTTTTCTCAAAGTCCCTCTGCTTCCCTTGAAGGAAGCTGCTCATACTATTTTGTTTTTAAAAATCCATACCTATTAATATCTCTTTTTTCTTTTTTTTTTTTTTTTTCCAAAAAAAAAACAATAGTAAAATTCTGCTGACCAAGCCAGCTTAGACAACTTTTAGAGAAATACTGGTTTTGGCAACCTTCAGAAGGGATATGCAGAAAGTTCCTCAGGTTCCAGAGCTGAAATACTTAGTAGTTATAACTCATTAAAAAAAAAAAAAAAGTCCCCAATTATTAATCTTGCCGTCTTCCTGTGTATTGACTGGCTAAGTGCTTGCCCAGGATGGAGAGAAATGAGGAACTCTGGCTGGTAGGGTTTGCTATGCCATTCTGGGAGGTGCAGGAATGTACAAGTGATCAGGGCACTTTGCCACTGCAACTCACACCCTGATAAATGCTTTTAAGTCAGAGCTGCTGCTTGGTCTGCGTGTGTGGGAGCAATCAACCTGTTCTTCCCCTGTCTGTGTGGGATGACTGGGTGCAATATGAGTGTCACACATTGCCTGTATTTACAGCCCTGTTCTCACCAGGTACATTTTGTGTCGTCAAGACCAGAAGCTTCAGGAATAAGGTATTTTTTCTCACCACCTTTCCCCTACGCATTGCCTCCCGCCACTCTTCTCAGTGAATATTTAAGATATAAGGCAGAATGGTGTAACTGAGCAACTCCTGAAACTGGGAGCACCCAGGACTGGGAGTGCCAGAGCAGACTTTGAATGGGCTGTGATGAATGGTCCCAATGTTAAGCACCTAGTGCATGTCATGGGGTCTTTCTTTGCCCTGACCTAAGAACATTTCTAGTGCTCTTTAGAGAGCCTGTGTGTTTAATCAGCAGCATGTGCGGGTGGGAGGTGAGGCTGTGTCTCTTTATATACTACTTACTCGTTTTTACCCACTTCCTAAATCCTTCACCAGAGTCTCAAGGGATTATTCGTTTGATATAAAGCTAATAACTTGTGTATCTTTCCAGTATTTAGGTAAGTGGAAAAGAGCCCGTTTTCCTAATCTCATTGGCATCTAGATTGTATTTTATGGATTTTATCATATGGAACTAATATTTCAGTACATTTCAGAAAAGACTATGCTTAATGCAATCCAGCATTGCTGATTGTACTGGCCAATTTTTACAACATTATGAAACAATTAAGATGATACATATGCAATATGAATATGGCATAAGTAAAATATGAGCTGAGCAACATGATGGTGAGCAGATTTATTTATGGGATGCTTTTTGCTGGATACTTGACTGAATGAAGAGAGATAGGGGCAAAAGTGTTGGGAAGGTGCCTCTCTGTAAGCCTGAGACCCATGCATACAGCACGTTCAGCATGTAGTAAATGCAGGATGGAGTGGCCAGAAGAGACATCAATGTGCACAGGTCCTAACAGTTGTCCCTTCTGCAAATCCATGCTGAAGTCCTACAGAAAATCCACAGGAGAGCAGGAGTTTTGCCCTTCCTGTTCCATCTGTGTGACAATGTTAAAGCCATAACTATTGCTCAGAACGTTTGGTTGGTGTTACGCCACTGGACTTATTCGTAGTGGACTGCAGGTTTGCTGGGCTGCAGGCATGGAGATGTGAGAATGTAACTGTCCTGGGAACATTCCTGGAGTGGTGAAAAGCAAGGTGCAACACCCTCTAAATTCTGGGCTCAGAGGAAGAACAGACATACAGTGCTGGTAAATTATTTGAATAAAAGCTGACGATGAATCTCTTGTATGAGCTCTGTGCAATCGTTTTAGCATTACAAGACCCTGCTGTCCCATGCATGGTGCCTGGCAAGAATTTATCACCAATGGTCTCATGGCACTGATCCTGTGACTGCTCTCCTGAAGTCACCGCTGCTGCTATTTCCACAGCTTTGCAGCGATCTCATGTATCAAAGTCCTACTGCAGTCTCTCCTCCTGTCCACCTCTACTGTGCAGGGGGCTTGTGGGACTCCAGGAGTCTCTCACTTTATTTTCCTTTAAGCAAATTACTTCTGCACATTCAGCTGTGGGAGGGGAATGGGATTCTGGCAGCTTTAATGAAGTCCAAGGGTATTTAGGTTCAAGTGATGACAAATGAATGTAATTAATGTATTAAAGTATGAGTCTGTAAGTACTCCCACCCTCAGAGTAGTTTTGCTTGTTTTTAAGAGCAGTTTCAAAATATAATTCATTATGTGATCTGTGGGGATGTTGAGCCAATTTCCACTTGGATCCATATCCTTGAGGACTGTAAGGAACGTGTTATTCTGCCTAGCACCAGGGATAATGCGTGCTTCTCAGGCTGAATTCATGTGAATTGCTTTCAAGTAGCAGTACTCAAGCGAGCATCTGGTTGGACTGAAAACTCCAGAGAAGGCATCTCCAAAGGCTCAGGCACATATGTAGTCAGATCTGTCCTGGCTCTTCCTAGTAGTCACTGCTTTCACTCAGATGCAGCTTTTGCTTTGAATATACTTGCTTGCCAGCACTGCCAGCTGTGGCAAAAACCACAATTTCTGTCCAAGGTTCCCAGCTCTGTATTTCAGAAATATGATCCACACTACCTTCTCTGAGTTTTACCACTTGTAGACCCAAACGTTGTCCCAGTGGTTGCATACAAACTTTCATCAGAATTCTGAAAGTGTTGAGGATTTGGATTTCTCCTCAGATGCCTTCAGAAATCTTTCTTTCTTTGATCTTTAGGATTGGTTAATTTGTGATCTTTATCGAGCTTTATTGATTTTTGTTGTTTGCTCCTTTGGTTGACATATTTACTACCTTAAGAGAAAATATGTTTGGATTGCACAAAATGTTTTGCCGAGAGAGAGCTGATACACCTACCTTTTACCTTTCTAGGTTTGTCTTCTATTTTATGGGTCTTAGGTTGTTTGGATCACATGATTCAGAGGATGAGCTGGAGCAGGAACCTAATCCAAGTGGCCTGAACTGCCCCTGATTACCTCAGTCTCCAGAGATAGCTTGTAGAGTCCATGCAGGTTTTTCACACCGATCAAACATCTTCCCAGGAAGATTTGAAACAGCAGAAAATCTCTTTAAATTTACTCAGTCATCCACATGATAGGAAATATCTCCCAGTGATTTGGAAAAACTATGGCACGGCAAAGCAAAATTGTTTAATATATCTGTAGCCAATATGAAGTCTCTGTATAGAGAGGCACTAAAGAATTAAGAATCCAATGAAAGAGTCCAAAACCAGGAAGGATAATTATTTAATGAAACGAATATTTTTTAGGGGCTTAAGGTATTTTAAAACCTATTCCACGTAGCATGTATATGCCATCTTGACTTATTCTTTCATCGGGAACTGCTTAACTGGATTACATTTGCACACAGAACTACAAACTGGAATAGGTGATGCAGGTATTTTAATTAAGTCTTCTTAAAGTATATAGAATGCAAAATACAAATAACCAATAGTTGTGCATGCAGTTTGCATGGTCAACCAAACAAAAAATTTAGAACTCCTCCGAAACTTTAATCCATCATACCATGTATTGTGTGCAAATACCTATTATAATGTCTCAAGTGCTTTAAACCACACAACTCTCCAGCTGAAGTCTCTGGTTCAATTAAAGTCTGAAAATGCCCCAAAGCAAATAGCTACAGTGATGTAAGTAAGGAAATCAGCACTAAAGAAAAGCCCCCTGAACAGCAGTAATCATACTATATCTCTCTAGTCAGTTGTAAAAATCACGATTTTTCATTTCCCGATGAAAATTAAAATATTGAGTTCTGAGGTGTGCACTTACAGTCTAATAAAATATTCACTTTGACTTGTAACAAAAACGCACTCAATTTCTGAAAAACATGACTTGGTACCAGTCTAAATATTTCATCACTATTATTTATCCAGAAAGAAGTATTGGAAGGCCTTTGTAGTTGAGACAACAGGTGTCTTCATAACAGTCCATTGAAATGTACAAACCATGTACAGGGGTGATTCTGTTTCAAATTGTAAAAAAAAATATCTATAAGAGTTTGGTTAAGGCTCAGTAAGGCTATAGCCCTTAGTAGCTGCTTGCTGCACTATGTGACGTGAGTGAGTAGTGACCGTGCATCTGCATAACCTCTCCATCACCTTCCAGATGAATGTGGCTTTGCGGGTAATAACTGCCTTACTGTACCTCCAAGAAAAGGCCTTTTGTAATAGTTCTGCTGCTGAGAGTGTGTATTCAGTTTGCACTTGGACTGTGCTGACCCCTCACCATCAGCTACACAAAGTAGGCAGAAATGTTGGCCACGTCCGGACTCCAAATGGCATGAAAGAGCCATGGAGAGGCACAGCAGAGCTTCCTAGGTCTTTGCTGACCAGAGAGTAACTCAAATTATGATAGGTAGAAGAGTCATAAAGAAAACGGAATGGGTAAAGTGAATTGGTTGGAGATCTCTCCCAGGCTGCATGGTGCTTTCTTTTGGGTCTTTCTGTACATGCCCCAGGATGATTTATTCTTCTGTGAGGATCTGTTCAGTCAGACTGAATCTGCATACCAATGAGGTTTGTGCTGAGTAGTCTCACTCACTGTCCCACTCTGGATGCCATCCTCAGCCCCTCTGGAGCAGGCCTAGAAATTCCATGAAGGTAAAACCCAGCTGTATTCACAGTCAGACCACGGCTGGCACCCAAAAGATTGGGTGCTTGCAAACAGCACAAAATATACTTCCAACAGTTGTACAGTAGACTTCCAAACATCTACATGCAAAGCCTAGGACAAACCACATAGTCTTTCCACTCTAGTGGTAGAGTGGATTATTAAAACTTCACTCTGCAGCTCTTATACAGATGCCTGGCTATTTATGAATTTTCTGACTGTTAATCAACTGAAGAAGTAGTTTCAGAAGCCAAAAAGGTGCTGCAAAGACCAGCCCAGGATGCGTCACTTTGCTTCAAAGGGCAGAGTGGATCTGTGCGACACGGGCACAGCTCAGGGCTCTCTGCTCCACAGATAGAATTGGCCCAAACCAGATAAGCAGAGAGAGACATCTGAGCTATTTGAAACAAATCCAGCTGAAGCAGTCAAAATAGTCTCTACTTGATATTAAATTAGCACTCTCTGAACTGCACAATCTGATTTTGAGATCTTTCCTCCAACATAAAATGGGCTGTGAATGACTCAGGTATTTGCCTTGTCTGTTAAGATTTCATAGAATGGAATCATAAAATCATAGAATCACAAGGTTGGAAACGACCTGTAAGATCATCCAGTCCAACTGTCTTCTCATCACCATTGCTACTACAAGCACTAAACCATATCTTGCGGCTCCTCATCCAGGTGCCTCTTGAACACTGCCAGGGACGGCGACTCCACCACCTCTCTGGGCAGCCATTCCAGTGCCTGACCACTGTCTGAGAGAAAAAGTTTTTCCTCATGTCCAAAGGGTTAGTGTTAGTTAGTTAGCTGTTGTAGTGGAGTAGATATGGCAACTGCTTATAGGAGAGATGACACATTAAATCCTGTTTCTTATACACTCATATCTTTCAAAATATTAAACTTCTCTATTGACCATTACTATAATGTTTTCTTACTTTTTGAATATGCAGGTTTTTTGCAGCTGCTGCCAAACCCAGGCTTTTGATTT